TGTGTGAGTGTTGAAAGCAGGTGTCTCTGTCTTGTTCCTGATCTCAGAGGAAGAGTTTTCAGTTTTTCACCATTAAGTCTGACATTAGTTAAAAGTTTGTCACATATGATCTTTATTGTGTTGCATTACTTTCCTTTTATACCCATTTTGGTAAATTTTTAAAATAATAAATGGATGTGGTATCTTAACAAATGCTTTTTGTGCATCTTTTAAGATCATCTCATTTTTAGCCTTTATTTTGTGTGGCATATTCATGGCTCCAACAAAAACTATTAGAAACAGTAAACAAACACTTCCAATGGAAGAGGAACTGGTTCATTTGATATTTTCCTTCAGAGTCTGTTACTCCTGTATTTAGAGCTCCAGGAAGCTGCTTCATTTGTTTTTCTCTGAAATAAACCCTTTACAAAACAACCCTTAAAAAATCTACTTCCATGTGGATTTACAGAGTGCTCTAAAATGTTAAGCTCAACCCAGTACATTAGAGCTGAATTTCTGCTATTAGAGAAGTAATCCTGTCAGTCTGCTTCACATAGTTGTGAGGCTGTTATCTGTCCTTGGGGAAATGGGGAAGACTTCATGTGAAGGACAGATAAGAATTTGAGGCAAAACTGAGAGTATTCTCTTTAAGATCAGAGATCAGTGAAGTGGAGGAAAAAAAGAGACAATTTTGAGCACAGCGAGGAAATCCACTGATCCCTTGCTAAAGCCTGGTGTCTGAAGCTTTGGAAATCTGGCTTGATTATTTGCCCCTGTGGCCAGACCTGAAATCATATGAAAGAGCAGATTAAAAAGTTACCTGTGAATTTTTAATGCAGAGTACCTCTAGCTTCAAATTAGTTTATCCTTATCAGGTAGTGTGAATCTTACTTACTCCTCCTCAAACTAATGAATTCTTAAGAACCCTCATGTCTGCAAACAATCTCCCCATTATTTCAAAAACCCAATGAATCAAAAATCATCTGTAACTCTTGCTTTTATCTTATATTTTTGAGGCAATACCTTCCAAAATTTCTTCTTGTCTATAACTGCCTGATCTTCCCGTTTTCTCCATGTCATTGCTTCTGACATTGCATAAGTCCTCACCTTATAAGCTATTTCTTTACAAGAGACATCCATGTTTTTCAAAGATTCATTCTCATGTATTCTCAAGCATTCACTCAATAACTATTTGTTTAATAAGTGCACATTATAATTGGTCCAAAATACTGGGGACTTAAAATAAATGAGAAAGAGAAAATAACTTTTTCTTTAATAATTTCTAGATGGAAGATATAGAAGATGGATAAATAAGCCATCAACAAAATAATTTCAAACATTGTTTGCTCTGAAGAAAATTAACATTGAATTTAATGAGACAGGGGCATAATTACATCACAAGCAGTCTCTCTAAGGAGGTAGTATTTGAACTGGGGCCAGACTATTTAAAAAAAAAAAAGGAATCTATCATGGAAAAATATTGGGGTGGAAAGTCTGAAAGTTAGAATAGTAAATCCAAACCTCTGAAAAAGGCAAGCAAACCTGTGATATGCAAGAGATATAAATAATGGGCACATGTGGTTGATATGTACATAGTAAAGATGAGACTGGCCTGAAGCATTGTGAGAGAAAGCATAAGCCAAATAATGTAGAACTTGTCTTTAGTGGTAGGGAGTGAAAAGCCATTTTAATCCTGGTAATGACATATTCTGAAAACCCTCTGCATTCTTTGCTAGTTTAATATTCCAAGAATATTCTGTTCACCACAACATTACTTTGCTTAGGTGTATTTTATTTCAATTATGTTAAACTGACAAAATCTAGATCTAAATCCAGGCCCCTAAGGGATAAAGAATGTATCTTCAACCCACCACTCCATCATCAACATCCTTGAGCCCTATTATTCAGGTTCAGAATAATAGATGAGGGGTAAGAAAGATAAGAGGTTGATTGGTTGAAAATACATAGCCCTCATTAGTTGACTGACTGGGTAAAAAGGTCTAGTGCCATTAATAACCTCTGTTTACTCTGTTTAGGGGCACAATGAGAGGCCATAGAGCTTAGAAGGACCAGTGCTGTTGACAGCCTTTAACTACAATAAATCACTGGTCTCTCATCCTTATTGTGGAAACATAAGGTGAGATTAGAAGGTAATTCATAGGGAAAGTTCTGATCACTGTGTGGAGGCAAGAGTTAAATTTGCCAAGAAATGACACTCAAACTTATGGAGTGTGAAGGTTCTCAAGCCTTTATATGAGAATTTGACTCAAGGACTGAAGGTCAAGTCTCTTGAGTAAACTAGCAGTAACTCCTCCAAAAGTGATTCCATTAATGCCATTCCTACCCAAGGATCCACAGGTGAGTGCGTGGCCTCTTGTTAGCTTTACAGAGCTGGGAGCTTTCAGTCATCTATTATTACCTCCTTCCTTCCCATCCACCCCAGTCAACCAGATACCATGCCTCCTCACTCTATCTTTGTTCATTCTTTACTTTTTGCAGACCTCACTGCTCTTCTTGGGTTTAGCCCACTAAAATCCATGTCTAGTCTCTGCAATTTTGAATTTACATTTGTGTGCATTAAGCATCTCCCCTCCCAGTATTATTACTTGAGTCATTTAAAATTCTAAAAAGATTTATTGTTTACTCTTGTGGATAGCAATAGTAAAAAAAAAAAAAAAGAAAAAGAAAGAAAATAAAAAAAGAAAAGCTAATAACTTATTTATTTATTTATGGCCTCCCATTACTTAGTCTTTTCTAATATTCTACCTATGTGTACTCTCTCTTGTAGTTTCAGATAGACATTTTCATGCAAGTCACCAACCCCTAGCTTGCTGATTTAAACTCTGAGCCTTTGTTATTATCATATCTCCTACATGAAGTCTTGGCCATTATTTCCCCTTAAAATTTACACAATATCTTATTTCTAACTTATTTTTGTGTATGTTATATTCAAACAGATGATAATGCACAATGATTTCATGTGTCTTAGCGTTGGCTCCCCAGTAAGAAAGTGGAACCCTTCAAGAAAGTGCAGGCTATTGTTGATTAATAGAGACTTTTACTGGAATGCTCCCAGCCATTCCTCAACCCATCTTTTATCTCCAATTCTATCTCATCAGACATATGACAACTTAAGTGATTTAAAATTCACGTTAGAGTGAGTTGAAATAGTAACCCAAGCCTAGACCTGGATCCCTACAACATTTTTTTCTTTTTAATTTTTATTAAATGTATTGGAGTGACATTAGTTGATAAGATTATATATGTTCCAAGTACACAATTCTATAATACATTGTCTGCATAGTAAATTGTGTGCCCACTACCCAAAGTCTGAACTCTGACATGTACCACAAACCTACTTTGTTTTTTTCTTGACACTGCTGACCATCTCCTTCTTTCCCCTCTACATAAGATTTTGTCACACTGCACTGTAAGTACATGCTCATGTAATTAACCATTTTCCCACCCCAGAAAACTTTTACCCATCTTGCCATCTTTCCAGACACTCTAGAATCCTTCCACAATGCACACTTCTCAAAAGAGCTGTTTCTTCTTATCTCTCCCCACCCCTTAGCCAATGAACCTCTGCTCCTCTAACACAAGAGTAAAAGATGGAAAAGATACAATATAAATTCTGAGTATGGAATAGAATGTGCTTTATTAAACAGAAGTTGTGCTGTCAAGACAAACTCCAGTTCCCATTTGCAGAAGGAAGGTAATGGGGACACAAATGGGCACTGGTGAACTGGAAAGAGGACTCAGTGGTACTTGTGGGCCATGGCATTGGCAACACCAGCCACCAGCTTCTGCCAAGCAGCCTGCACATCAGGGGTGAATTCCTTGCCAAAATGAGAAGCCAGAATAATCACCATCACATTGCCCAGAAGCTGTTAGGTAAAAGACAAAATGACAAAGAAGCATGTTGAGTAGACGTTTCCAACACAAGTTGTAGAAAAAAGAATGGCTTAATAGCAAAACTCCCTGCCAACACTGAACATTAAAGTCCTTATGCATGGGCTCTCAGAGTGAGTTTAGTTAAAGTTTCCAACCATTGCCAGAACAAGCCTCCACTTGGTCACAATACCAACAAGTAACTGAACATATTTAGACGACTTGTATTCTTGAGACATTCTGTCTAAAAATCTTTCTCCAAAATCTCTTCCTAAATTTCAATCATCAGAGACCACATAAAATAATGCATTTCTTCTTCCCTGAGGTAGGACTTTTCCTACCAAAAGCCAAATTCCTTTCCTCCTTAAACAAGTTTGCTTCTCTCTGATATTATTCCTTAAGATAAACACAGTTCTGACAAGAGTTTCTGAGAAGTTTTAGGCAAACTCAGGCTATTCATCACTCTTTAGTGTGACTAGTTCTGAATCAAGGTGGCCTTGGTTATGCCCACTGGAGACCTGCCCTCCTAACCCCATGGCCCATAATTTATGAGATCTTCGTTAGTTTTCCCAAACAAAGACTCGATTTCCATTATTATCCCAAAAGTTAAATAAGAAAAAAAGCACATGAACATTCTCTGAACTCACCCTGAAATTCTCAGGATCCACATGCAGCTTGTCGCAATGCAGCTCACTCAGCTTAGCAAAGGCACCCTTGAGGTTGTCCATGTTCTTAATAGCATCTCCGAAGGAAGTCAACACCTTCTTGCCATGAGCTTTGACCTTGGGGTTGCCCATTATGGCAGAAGAAGAGGACAGGTTGCCAAAGTTATCAAAGAACCTCTGGGTCCAGGGGTAGACGACCAGGAGCCTATAGGAGAGAACCATAGCATATGGGCAATCAAAGACTCAAAAATCTTAAACAACTTTCCTGATCAATTTTCAAGGCTCAAATTCACCATCCTCACCCATGCACTGAATCCCAGTTCCTACCTGCCCAGCACTTCGCCTCCAGCCTCTTCCACATTTACTTTGCTCCACACATTAGTGACGGCAGTCTTCTCCTCACCAGTAAAATGCACCATGTTGCCGGTCTGAGGGCTTATGGAGATCACGGAGGTGTCCAAAGCACGTATGTCTGCTGCTGGAAGGGGTAGCCTTTTATTCTTTACTGCTCACCCCCTGGCCCTTTGTTTGCCCTAGTACTTGGAACTGATTGGTTAAGGCTGAGCTGTTCCTTGGGGGTGGAGTCAGGCCAGAAAAGGGTCAGCAATGAACAGGGCACTCTGGTTTATAACATGATTCCTGGGATATATATTCTTTTGTTGATTCCCTTTTCATTCTCAGCACAATACTTTGTCCACTTCCCCTTTTGTCTCCCCATGTCATTTTCCAGGATGATGTTTATCTCTCCCATTCTTCTCCACATAAGACCCAGAGAGAGGATCTAAACGCAAGATAGGGAGAGAGTTCCAGCCAAAACACCTTAATATTTGTGTTAAGGATAGTGACAAGGACAAAAACAGCGTCTCAAAAAAAAAAAAATACAGCCATGACTGGGTAGCTCAGTTCATTGGAGCATCGTCCCAGACATCAAAAAGTTGTGGGTTTGATGCTAGGTCAGGGTACATGCTATGGAGCTATAGCAGATGGGAAATCAATGACTCAAAAATCTTAAACAACCTTCCTGATCAAATGTCAAGGTTCATATTCACCATCCTCGCCCATGCATTGAATCCCAGTTCCTACCTGCCCAGCACTTCGCCTTCAGCCTCTTCCTCATTTACTTTGTTCCACACATTAGTGATAGCAGCCTTCTCACAAAAGAAGGATGTCTCAGGAATCAAACCCACATCAAAATGTTGTGGGTTTGATTTCAGGTCATGTTTTGAGTTTGTTTTCCCATTGGGCACTTGCAGGAAGCAACCAGTCAGTATTTCTCACTTTCTCTTTTTCTTTCCTCTCTCTCTCAAAAATTAATAAAAACATATTCTCAGGTAAGGATTAAAAATGTAATTGACACAGAATCTCAGCCAGTTCTATCTCCCTTAAGAAGTAATTTCAAACTCTCTGCATCTTAGTTTTCCAAGTGAGATAAAACACATATATGGTTACTTCAGAAAGCTGAAGAGAGTAGTAAGGGATCCACAATAGGACTATGCCCTTAATCCCAAAGTACAATACCTGAGGGTGATTTCACCGAGAAGAATGACAGAATACACTTACATCCCATGCTTCTCAGGAACCCTCTCTCTGTCTATTTCTCTGTGACTATAGAAGAAACTGGCTACTTTGGGAATATTGCTCTGAGCTCTCTTCTTGATTTTCTGTCCTACTTATACTCTTTTTACAACTTATTTTAAACCAGGATTTGTGATCAAACTAAGGAATAAATTAATTGATGTTAATCAGGCTAGGAGTTGGAGAACAGTTTAATGTTTGTTGTGGCCATAGATGTCAGAGACTAAATTTTTTTAGTGTCCTTGTTGTTGTTTTTGTTTGTTTGCTCTTGTTGTCTTGGGCTTCCCTAAGAATTCATCATGAAACATTGTCTGGACCTGTCACTTTTTCAATTACCGTTCACTGTTGTTATGCTCAAATCTGGTTGATATAATTGGTGAGGAAAGGTAGAGAAGCATCCTATGTGTATAATTAAATCTCAGTCTTTTGTGGATCAATTTTCCTGGGCTGTCACCTTCATATGCGTTATTTAGTTTTTTTTCTCCCTTAATAAATTTAGGAAAGACTCCCTGGATTAGACCACATAGCCTAGCTTGACAGGATTCTTGGGTGAGGAAGAAGATATTTGATCACTGAAGTAGAAGAACAATGAATAAACAAGAAACAGTTGGCCACTCGGTAAAGAATAACCTTTGGTTTAATACAAGTTTTGTTGTTGTTGTTTGTTTTTGTTTTTAATCCATAGAGATAGAACTCTAGGTTTCCAAAGAAAATTTTCTATAGTTCCACAGTGTGAGGAAAATTACTTTTCTTTAGACCTTGGGCGTGAGGGTCAGACATTGCCAAAGCCCAAGGAACAAGAACCAAGTCTCTCAAAACCAAGAGTTTGGGAAACAAGTCTCTCTCTGAAGCAGATCCCATGAGTATGTCCCATTCTCCTTCCAATTCAGGGTGTGAACACCAGTCTTCTCTTGGCTTCAGAGTATGGTGTTGATCTTCATCCTCTACCTTCAGACCCATTGCAAAGGCCATAACTCCTCTACTAGAGGCCTAGGGACCAGAGCTGGCTGGCCTCCAGGGATCTGGCTCATCCTTTGCTCTCTTATCACTAAAGGTTGTGGGAAAAGACTGTAAGGAAAGGTTATAAGGCATATTTGTAGCTCAGCACAAGGCTTATGAATTCTGATTCTAAAGTCAGCTGAGTGTAGTTTTATTAGGGGTTTGTTGATTCAAGCTAAATTATCTCAGATGCGCATTTTGAAGGATTTTATGGATTTCTCCTATGGAATGTAATGATTATTTTCTTCCTTTCTTGAATGAAATACCCAAAGTTTAGAGAGATAAGTGACATAGTTACCCAGGATAGATCAGGAAGATTAAATGGTCAGAAAAGAATAGTAATTTATTACTTATAAAGTGGAAAATTAATAAAATAGTAGCATTATATCTCAAGATACTTAAACAAAAAGACTTTTAAAAAGAAACTCTGATGGGAGATATCTGTAATATTATCAATAATAAAAATTATATTTAAAAAAGCAAAAAGCAATGACCTACTAGTACTAAATAATGCTAAGCCAAGTAAATAAAATAATAAATATGTAAGAATTACTAATTAAATTAACAAAGAGGAATATGGAATATACAAAAGCATATACATATAAATTTATTATAATATGTCTTTTGCATGTATAAAAATGGATCAATAGAATTCAAGACTTGAAAACAGTAACTGCAACTTGACTTGAAATTTGTCCTGTTTCTATCATTAATAAAGTTATGGCTTCTTGTGGATGAAAAAATAAACTCTGAGATTTGTTAAGGATTAATTCCTGCCTCCAGGGTATTCAGTAGTAGCATTTATACATTTGTAAATGCTGTGCAGGATTTTAATAAATGGCAGATGCCTGTTTTTAACCAGAATAAATCAAATATTTTCTTAAATCTTGCTAGCTAATATATGACATGTGTACTAATCCTAGGAGTCAAATATTATATTACCTCTAGGTGCTCTTAATGTGGAGAACTGTGTAAAGTACATTGTTGTAGGTAAAACAGGCCTTCAACCCTACTGCACATTTCATACTATTATTTAGAAAAATACGTCAAATGTTATTCTTCACCACAAAAGAGTTCTTTTATTTTTAAAATAGAAAAATTATAGACAGGGTTTATAAATCACTAAAAGTACAAAAAACTGCTTCAATTTTTAAAAGTTCTTTATTGTTTAAAGTTTTATGTAACTCTCCTTTTCCCCCGTTGACCTCTTCTTGGCTGTCCCCACCCCCCAGCACATGCCCTCACTCTCCTACTGTCTGTGTTCATTGGTTGTGCTCATGTGCATACATATAAATCCTTTGGTTGATCTCTTACCCCTCACCCCCCACCTTCCCTCATAGGTTGGACAATCTGTTCAATGCTTCTATGACTCTGGTTCTATTTTTGTTCATCAGTTTATGTTGCTCATTATATTCCACAAATGAGAGGAAGATACTTATTTTTCTCTGACTGGCTTTCACTTAGCATCATGCTCTCCAGTTCCATCATGTTGTTGCAAATGGTAACAATTCCTTTTTTTTTAAGCAGCGTACTATTCCATTATGTAGATGTACCACAATTTTTTTAATTCACTCACCTGCTGATGGGGACTTAGGCTGTTTCTAAATCTTAATTATTGTATATTGTGCTACTATGAACATAAGAGTGCATATATCCTTTCTAATTGGTGTTTCTGTTTTCTTGGAATATATTCCTAGAAGTGGGATTACTGGGTCAAATGAAAACTCAATGTTTAGTTTTTTGAGGAAATGCCATACTGTTTTCCACAGTGCCTTCCCCAGTCTGCATTCCCACTGGCAGTGCACGA